AGACAGAGAGAAAAATGCTTTGCTGTCCCTCTGTGAGGTAGGCAAGCAAGCAGGGAAAGCTGAGATCCAGCTGTCCAGGGATGTCCCATTAAGCACAAGCCTCAGATAGCCTCAGGCAGCAGCCACACAAAGTAACTACTGACCTGAGGCCCTGCCGGAACCGGTTTCATCTCGCCTTAAATGCAATTCAGCATCCAATCAGTGTGGACATTCTATTTCAAAATGGCAAAATGCTATTTCGAAATGCATTTTGTGTGTAGACGCATTATTTCGAAATATCTTATTTCAAATTAACTATTTCGAAATAAGATATTTTGAAATAACGCTGTAGTGTAGACATACCCTTTGTGTTCCCCCAAAAAATAAACAGCATCTTCCAAATAGATCATAGAAAACATTAACTATTGTTTTATACCATGAAATGCAGACTGGCATATAAAGCCAAATTCCCTTTTTGAATTACTACAATTCCAATACTGTAGAAATTCAAAATTCCAGATCTCCAAGTGTTTGGTGATTTCATATATATTTCATATATATTTCATATATTCCAGCTCCAGGGAGGAGAACATATATATGGTTTCTGAGTCTCCAAACTTTTGCAGCACCCATTCTAATGGCTTGTTTACACTGCTAAAGTATCTGCATTTTTACGATGGGTGATCAATGCAAGAGAGCCATGCGGAGGTAAAAGAAAGACCAGGCACTCCAGTTTACCAGCCAGGGCAGCCTGAAGTGCCTTGTCTTTAATTTTGATGCATCTCAGGTTAGCTCACGCTAGGGATGCTAAAATGAGGTTAATTTACTAATCATGTAGTCAATAGAATTTTTATTGAATATTTGATTAGTCAATAGGCAGCCAGCTCAGTACCAGGTCTGGGACCAAACCACGCTGTCACCCTGCAATTTAAAAGACAGTAGGAACAGGGCAGCCTCCCCCAACCCCCAGCTCCTACTGCCTTTTAAATTGAAGAGCTGCAGCGGGGCTTGGTCTGAGACCTGGCACGAGCCAGGACTGAACTGGACTGCCTGCCCCGCTGACAGCAGCCCGTGTCTGGGGGTGGTCCCAGCTCCCCACTGGGATCCTCACAGATAGGAGCTTCTGCTGCAAAGCAGCACCTGTCCACGGCCAGCTTGGGTCTGTCATGAACAGAGGCTGCTTCAGAGCAGCTTCCCTTGGCCACCTCCAGCCCCTGTTGGTGCCTCTGATAGAAGCAGTAGCATGAGGGGGGGCAGGCAGCAGCACGGAGACAGCACTGGGGTTAACTAGCTGTTAAGGCTGTTCCCCACTCTGGTACAACAAATACAGAAGTGGGGGCCCGCAAAAGCACCCCAAAATCTGGTCTCTACAGGATTTCATACGAAAACCTCCCCCCAAAATCCTAATACCCGGACTTTGGAGAAATCTGCTGCCACCACCCAAGTAATTTCTACGAAAACCAGGGAAGAGATCACTTGGGAAACCTCCTCCCTAAGGTAAAACTCTCCTCCTGCCCCAACCTCCACTTTACTTGGAATTGGGAAAAACCAGAGGGGATTCACAGACAGTAATGGACTCTGCCCTTATAACTAGGCACTGAGTCACAGGACACAACAATCAACCAATAACGGTGACTTAGAAAAAGAAAACAAACTTTTATTATCAAAACAGAACTACAGTTGCAAGCGAAATAAAGTGGCTAGATGGAAAGGGACACTAACTGATATACTCAGGGGAATTCCCAGGTTCAAGATTTTAGTTACAAAAGAGAAGAAAAAAAAACACATTTAACATGCTCAGACACCAGTTCCAAATTCCCAAACCAAGAAAACAATAAAATCTGATGGACTGTCAAAAGTTTGCCCTGTTTATACCTTGTAAGAATTCTTTTCTCGGAAAGAGATAGGCCTCCCATCTCCTTCAGTCTTGGAAGAAACTGCTCTGACTCAAAGGAGGGAAAAGATAAAAATTCCTTTGTCCTAGTTTGAAATCCCTACCTGCATTGCTATTGGCTGACCAGATACCTGGCTAGCGACAGGAGACATAATTAACCCCTTAGTCTCCAGGTGCTGGTCAGCACTCCTGATTATGACACTAGCTTTTAAGCCAGTTCCCCCTAGCACTGGCTCACGAAAGTTTATGCTCTAATGCTCTCATAGATTTGTTAGTCTTAAAAGTGCCACCAGACTTCTTGTTTTTGATGAAACAGACTAACACGGCTAC